ATAACTAAAGTAATGCAGTACTGGCAAAGGAATAGGCAATTCAGGGTAACAAAGCAGAAAACTCAAAAATAATTTATTATCTGATAAAGGTAGCATTTCAATTCTGAGGGAAAAAGGAGGGCTTATATAATTTGTGGTGGTGAGACCACTGGCAAACCAATTTAAAACAAAACTGTTTTAACTTAGAACCCTCCCTGAAACCATGCAACAAAATAATGGATTAAATATGAAACTGTAGAAACTAAAAGCTTGAAATATAAGAAGTACATGACAATATGTACAGAAGTTGAGGGTAGGACTTTCCATCATAGGCAGAAGCGATGAAGAAGAGTAAGACTAATGTGACTACATTAAAAATGAAAACTCGGGGCTGGCCCAGTGGCGTAGCAGTTAAGTTTGCACACTCTGCTTCCACCACCCAGGGTTCGCCAGTTCAGATTCTGGGCAGAGACTTACACCCTACTTAGCAAGCCATGTTGTGGCAGGCGTCCTACATATAAAACAGAGGAAGATGGGCACAGATGTTAGCTCAAGGCCAATCTTCCTCAGCAGAAACAGGAGGCTTGGCGGCAGATGTTAGCTCGGGGCTAATCTTCCTCCAAAAAAAAAAAGAAAAAGAAAACTTGCATATTAAAAAGCAATCACTATAAACATGCCCTAGGGAAACCAAAAGACAGGGGGGAGATTAAGGATCAACAAATACAATCAACAAAGGGTCAATGCCTTTAGTACAAAATCTCTTAGTAATCTATAGGAAAAAATAAGAACTCAGTAAAATTGTGCTAAGAATATGAACATACATCCACAAATGAAGAAATATAAATGGCCAAAACATTTTCAAACTCAGTAGTCAAAGAAAAGCTGTAAAACAGCACAATGTTTCTACTGTTAAATGTCAGAGAGAGATGGAGAGGGGTGCTCTCATAACTGCTGAAAGAAATGTAAATCAGTCGAACTTTCCTGGAGGAAAAATTAGGAAGGTACTATCAAAAAGCTTTTAGACTCAAAATTCTTCTTCTAAGACTTTAATATAAGGTAACAGGTATCAAGATTTCATTACATCACTTTTATTAACAAGAGTAGAAAAACTAGAAATAACCAAATGGTTGAATATCAGGGGATTAATAACAATAGACATCCATACAATGAAATAATTGTCTCATAATATAGAAAATTGTTCACAGTAAATTAAATGGGGGAAAAAAGGGCAGGGTATCAAAAAAAGCAGAGCAATGGCTAAAACTTACTAAGAACTTAAAAAAATTAAGTCAGACATATACACACACCCCACAAAGTATATAAGGGATTACAAATAACATTTATTTTCTTCTTTTTGCATATCTGCTTGAACATCTTATTACCTCTTCTGACTTCAGTAACTCATTTACAAGTTGCCTCAGTTTCCTTGAATAATAAAAGGCCCCTTTGTGTTTATTTAGGCTCCAGAGTTCACCAAACAGTAACTTAACTACAAAATGCTAGAAAGACACACAGACATACACACTCTCTCCCTTGTGCCTGTGGATGCTGCTATGCACACATCTCCAGATGCATTTTCTTTAATTTTTTTAAAGTACAAAAGAATGTCTACAGCATAGTACTCCATTTGTAAAAAGGAAAATATAAGAATATATTCATATGTGTATATATGTGGATAAAGAAACTCTGGAAGAATGTACAAGGAAGAACATAACTTGTTACTCAAAGGAAAGACACCAGCTAACAGGGAAGGAGAACATTTTGTAAAACTCTATTTTTAAATGTGTAAATATATTACTAATTAAAAACTAACAATCAATTCTATTGCGATTATATATTTAAGATATATATAAATAAAAGTATTTATATATAAATAATATATTATATATATATATGCGCCACATTACTCAATATTGGCAAGTCATACATATACTATTGGTGGGATTATAACTCATTAAAGCCTTCATGGAATATCATCAAAAACCTTAAAGGAATTAGTTCTAATGAAATATCCAGGCACATGCTCAAAGATATATATAGAGACAAGCGGAAGGATGGAAGGAGGGGAGAAGAGGAGAAGGAGAGGTGGAGAAATAGATCTATAGCTAAATATAAAGGAAGTTCATCACAATCCTATATGTAACACTGAAGAATTAGAAACAACCTAATGTATTTAACAAGACTGCTTAAAAACATCATAATGGAATACAAACTACCACCACTATAAAAATAAATGCCACATATTTATCAACGTGGAAAGGGCTTATGATAGTATACAATAACTAAAAACCCAAGTTATACAATAGCAGTTATAATATGGGATTTGGTATTTATTTTTTATATGCATTGGAAAGATAAACACCAAAGCATTAACAGTGTTTTAACTCAGTCAGTTTAAAGTGTTCTTTACGATCTTTCAGTATTTTCCGTTTTTCCTTTCAGAAAATAACATGAACTGCTTCTATAAGGAAATATAAAAGACATATCATTTTGAATAAAATGTTAATGACAATTCCCCTACCCATAACATTTCCATGATTTACGTTTTGGCAGGGGTGGAGGAGCAGGGTATTTTGTTTTTAACATATAAAATCCACCAATACAAAAGTGAACTAAGATCATCTGGCTCCAAATTTGCAATCATTTCCACTATATCATGCTACCTTAAACACTCTCTTATATGTGGTATTATTGCTCTTTATATTAATTTAGCCTTTAAAATACTTATATTTTATTATGAATTCCAGATAAGTGAAGTTTTATTGTATATTAAAAACAAACATTATCTCTGTTCACATCCTTCTGAAGTATTAGAGATATACAAAGCACACTGTTCAACCCAAATGCTGGGCTGGAAGAGGCAGACTGAAAAAAGCAATCAGTGTTTGACTTAGAAATGGGTTGTACTCCAACTCTGACTGTTTGGAAGTAACTCTACATAAAAAGAATGTTATTTTTGTTGTAGAAATAAGTATTAATTGATTTCCAGGCCAGCTCAAAAAGTTTAATTTAATCCATAATTGGCAGAAACATATTACTAGTATATTGTTATTCCTAATAAATACCATAATCAACCTAAACAGGAATAGGGAGAATGTCACAAAAGGCTAGTAACACTCTACCAGCCACGACAAAAACTGGTCCTAACATGGTTCTTTCTAGACAGAGAAACCTACAAAAAGTGAAGGAGGAAGCAAGTTGTCAAACATAACAGATTAAGGATTAGTTCTTACTACTCTTCCCTAGAAAAGTGGTTTGTGAAATCTATTTATTCTGTCCTAGGAAAACACGTATGCCAGTTCAAAAACCTAATGACCACAGGATTTTTTAAAAAGGCATATGGTGTTTTACTTAAGATTAAAAAAACGTTTATGCAGAGATGTCAAAAAATATATATTTGCAAAAGGTGGCACACGCATTAACATATATGCTAACATATTAAACACGTCACAAAATAAGTCAATTCCCATGCTTCTGGATGTAATGTAAAACTGCCTATCAGTCTCATATCTAGAGAGATTTACAACTGTGCCTTGGGCAACGTAAAAATGGTCATGGATCCTTAAACTAAACAAACAGTCAAAATGAAAAAGATTCATTCCTCTATATTAAGAATCTAATTTTCTTTTATAAAATTTTACCTTTTTAATTTCAGGAGTTGTTTACATTCTATATCAACAGAATTTATTGTAAGAGGGCAATCAACACATAATCATAGATACCAAATTTTCATTTCCTACCCAAAATTACTCACCACTTTCTGATATATTTTCAGTATTGAAGAATCCATTTTTATCCAGTACGTTTTTTAAAAATTAATTTTGAACTTGGTACATTTAAAAATGACAAGTTTTCAAAATCTCAGCATATTAAAAATAAAAATAATGAATTGACAAAATACTACATAACATATGCTAACTTCAGAGCTGCCAGAAATTACGCAAATTTAGCTACATGAAAATGAGCACCAAAAACTCACAATATTACATATTCAGTTACACACAATGGCATGACAATCAAGTGCAACACAATACATTCAGAGCTACAGTCACAAAATTTTCAGAAAGACTAAGTATAAATATATTATGTCAATTCACAAAAGAACGTTTTTAAGAAACTAACACACTTCAGTATTATCCAGACTTTCCACAAAATACAACATGAATGTAACAGTAAACTTCCCAATCAAATCTGACCTGCCAAAGTAACCAAAAATTAACACCCCCAAATCTTTAAAGAATTCCGGGACAATGCCAATCCAAAAAGACAGAGAAAGAAGTAAAAAGAAAATAAATGACAATGTTAAAAGTAAACATAAAATCAACAAATCACATAACACATAAAATGTACTTTTCCCAATTTCAATAAAAATATAATAAAAGCAACCCAGAAAAGAAACATTCTATGTATATTTTATATTTTCCATAGTTATTCTGTGTTGTCCCATACGGCACCTACTTGCTACATGTGGTTATTTAAATTTAATTAAAATAAAATTTAAAATTCAGTTGCTCAGTGGCTAGCTCACTGAACGCACTCAGGAGGCACGTGCGGTTAGTGGCTGCCCTACTGAAGAGCACAGAAGCAGAAACTTCCCTCACCGCACAAAGTTGTACTGGACGGCATGCTATAAAGTAGGCAAGCCATTTTCTTCTCTATAATAATAAAACTTCTTTCCATAAAACTGCAAACACTTCCCCTTGCACTTGAAACATTTTTATAACTCAATATATTGATGATTATTTTTCAAAAAGATGACAATCACAACTAACAGGACAGTGCTTATTAGGTGCTTTGATTTAGTATCTCATTTAATCTCCATAAAACCCTATGAGGTAGACACAAGTCCACAATCCCTTATCTGAAAGATGTATTTGAGAATTCAGAGGCCTTCAGATTCTAGAAAGTTAATACTGTACATGAACCACACGCTCAGAATGCCCTCAGCGGGGTCTGGGGAAGCACTCAGGAACACAGAGGAACGGCTGAATATTAACACTGAAGATAAGTGAACTGTTTACCAGTTAGGTCCTGCTTCTGCATGAAATTCATTCAGGACAGCTATTTCCAATCTCCAGTGTGATAATCTGCAAGTATACTGCAATTTTAGAATGACAGATCCATGAACTTTTACCTATTCTTCCCCACATAACTACGAATTTTCATCACAGAACTACGAAAATGACTCCATCTCCCTGAATTTTAAGAATTCATTTCTAAGCTGGAGCAAAATGTTTTTTCCTTCTGGTAATTATATACATAATATCCTAAAAGGAAAGGCCTAGTTATTTTCTTTTCATGAGAGAATTAATACAGCTATTTAAGTACAAATTCAAAATTGTATTTTGCCACATTTATAAAATGACACATTTTTTTCAATGCAGGCATCTAATTCAGTTGGATCTGGCAACTTAAACACTTCCTTATTTCCTTTCTGAAAGGAAAACATGTATGACCAACTTTCAGTTACACAGTGCTTTCATGTTCTCAATCAGCTGTTACACGTTTCTCTCACTTTCCCCAAAGACTGTGACCAATTTTATATTATCATTTGAAAGTCTTCCTCACGATTGTTAAATTTATAACCAGTATATATCTTAAAATATTCCAAATAGATACATGTCACAAAAAGTACATGGATAAATTTATCCACATATTTTAGTGTGATTTAAATACTAGGAATTAAAATCAAATATTAATAGTGATAAAATATAAAAGTATGATATTTAAATATTCAATAGCAAAGTGGCCAGGTTGATATCCAAAATTATGAAATATCACAAATATGAGCATCCAATAAGGACTATGTATTTCTACAAAAAATTATACTTTCTCCTGGTTACTGATACAGCCTTGCTTAAAAAGATTTGGTGGTTAGCAATAGGAAATTGAAATAAATGCTACAATAATATGAAAATAACAACTTAATCCAATACTTCTGATAAAAATTAGACCTCATTACTAATAACAGTAATTAACTGAACAATTATTCAGCTTTCACATTATTACTTCATTATAGCACACCTGTCACACATAACCTGGCGAAAGCTCCTTTGTAAACTAAATTTTATAAATCGACCTAAGTTTGATTGACTGAAACATAGTTTAGCATAATTTGTCCAGAGCATGGACTCTGGAGTTACAGTTCCTGGCTTAAATCCAGGTTTTGAAACTTACTATAACGGCAATTTTTGGTGAGTTACTAACCTTTGTGTCTCAATTTCTTCATCTATAAAAAGGGACTAAGAGTATCTATCTTATAGGGTTATAGGAGCATTAAATGAAACAGTCTATGGAAGCAATCAGGGGAGTGCCTGGTACTCAGGACCTCTCCACAAGCATTCGCCATCATCACTGGGATTATTAGAGCATCTCTGAAGTTGTAATATATTAACGTTAGCACTCTTCACCTTTAAGAATTTCGATTTCCTCCAGTTTCCTGAAAAACTTAAATGCACTACGGAAACAATATTTGAAGGAATCCTATGTCAGTTTAATAAACATCTATTACTAATTCATATATTTACATCTTAGGTCTCTTTAAAGTCAGATTAAGGTGAAGATAAAACTGGGAACATGTTCTTCCACAGCTCCTAACTTCATAATGCTAAATAACAGCCAAACATCACCATTTCACACACACAACTACACCCTAGTCTAGTGCAGCAATGGATAAATGGTTGCTGCTATTTATCCCAAAAAGTCCCAAGAGAAGAAGCAAATCTTACTGAGATATTAATTCAGTTTTGGACATACTAAGTTTGACATGTTCAATACTTCATGGATATTCCAGGCAGCAGTCAGAAGTACAGACCTTAAGTTAGGAAGCTCACCCTCAGAAGTTCACCACCACTCCCTCTTTTACTACCATGGAATTTATCATATCCTATTACATGACAATTATTTGTCTCCATAACCCTTCTCTACTGCTAGGCTATCTTGAAGGCATTTAGGTCCTGCCATATAAGAGCTCAATAAATATAAATTTTAAAAAATGCAAAACTTGCATTAAAGGAGTTAATTTTATTGTACACAAAGAAACTAATTTTAAAAAACTTTCTCCAGGGCCAGCCTGGTGGCATAGTGGTTAAGATCACACACTGTGCTTTGGTGGCACGGAGTTCACAGGTTCGGATCCCAGGCACAGACCTATGCACCTCTCATCAAGCCATGCTGTGGCAGCAACCCATATACAAAAAATAGAAGACTGGCAACAGATGTTAGCTCAGGGCCAATCTTCCTCACCCAAAAAAAAAAAATTCAATCTGTGAATTTTAAATAAGGATGAAATTTTCATTTGGAATAATTCTTAGAAAATGTGAGTAAACCTGAAAAGAGCACAATATGACATGGCAAAAAATACATAAATGAGTAAAATATGGAAGAGAGAGCCCAATGAAGACCCCTTGAAGTGCACTGAAATTAATTAAAATTCTCAAGAAGTTCGTTAAAATGTCTGCAATGTGGATTAAAAAGATCTCACTTTCTAATTTACAGGCTACCTGAGTTCAATAACTTAAAAGTCAAAAGCCTCTGGACCCTTCCAGCACGTTATTCAAAGAGGTGTGATAAGAGCATATGGCACATGTGCTCAGTTACATGCACTAGGTAAGGGAAAGCTGCAGTCGTCCCCAGTCCACTGGTAACTGTTTGGCAGCTAATCCTTCAGTTTAAAACATGTAGAAGCACTTCCTAAAGAATGCTTCACTGGTACTGTTTACCACCCAAACTTAAAACATGGTCAATTCTGTCAAGGCTCCAATAGTAGACCAGAGTGGCTGCCAGTTCTACATTTAGAGCAGATCATGACAACTTCCTCTGAGCTTGACAGCTAGATACCTTTCAATGAAACCATTCCCTGGAAACGACACTACGGTATTGTTGCTTATTTAGAGAGCAGGGAGCCAAGAGAAAACCACCTTCTTAGTGATGAATGGGTGGGGAGAAAGAGTAGCAGTAGAGGATTAAAAAAGAGCAGTACAATACAAATAGGCTTAGAAGAACTGTGAACCTGCCCTCAAAAAAAAGTAGGGATTCACAGAATGAAATTCCTATAACGCAAAATAAACACAAAGAGTTAAGTGTGTACTTTCTCATTCGAAATCATATAAGCAAGGATCAAATGTATATTCATTCTAATTTTACATAATCAAAAACCTAAAAACCTTATATCGATAGAAAATATTGCTAAATTAAAAAGGATTCCCCCAATTTGGGCCCTATGTTCTTGTTCTATAAAGCAATTCATAAGGGGAAAAAAATATCTTCAGACTATAAATGATGAATGTAACTATTAGGTCTCTCTCTGAGGTCTAAAATAGAAGAAAAATGTACATTTCTTCCAAAGCTGTAGCCAACAATAACTTTTGCATTCTGAATCCAACTTAAGCACATTAGTTGGGAAGACTTTTGCAAAAGTATTTAATAAGAAAGTGCTGAATTTAGCTTTTATTTTTTTCCCAGTTTTCTTAAGTGGCCTGCAGTCTATCAAATGCACTAAGTAGAACCTCTCCAAAGTATAAATGACAAAAGGAAATACAGCTTTCTTCTTCTAGAAAGCTGTTTCTACAGATCAGAGATCATCAAACTTTTTCTGTAAAGGGCCATATAGTATGCATTTTCAGCTTTACAGGCCATATGGTCTCTGTCACAAATACTCAATTCTGCCACATAGCATGAAACCAGCAATAGATAATAGATAAATGATGAGTGTGGCTGTGGTCCAATAAAAGCTTATTTTCAGAAACAGGCAGCCAGTCTGTGTGTCATACCTACCGACAAATACACTGTCTTAATAAATACTACCAAATTTGAAATAGGATGTCTGGGATTTGCTTTAAAATATTTCACAAAAAAAACACTGGAGAATAAGGAGAAAGGTTAAATAACTGGCAAAACACAATTATTGTTAAAGCCAGATGATGGATGCCTGGGGTTCATTACACTAGTCTCTATAATTTTATGAGTTTGAAATTTTCAAAATTAAAAGTTTTTAAAAATACAAGGTACATCGATGAACCAGCTCTAAAGGAAAATGAATTTCCTCACTTTACTATAAACTTTCTAAAACACATTTAATATTTTTAAACATAATTAACATAATACAACACAAAAGATTCTTAATATAAAGCTAGTGAACAATTAAAAAACTAATATACAAAAGTTTATAGAAGCATAAAGCCTTAAAATTTTCCATAATTTAAAATATAAGCTTACCTCACACAACTCCTAAATTAATACATTTAATTTATTCTCATCTTATCTAACAAAACATGTTACCAATTCCGGGTTTTAAGACAATTATTTCTATAGGGCATATATTATTTATGCTAACATATAATAGGTTTATTATTTTCCAAATGGATTAATAAGTTTTTTATTTCTCAGTTTTAAACTCTAAACAATAAATATTAATAGATACAACCCACATAAACAAATGCCGTTTAAGGTCTTCAATAATTAAAAGTATAAAGGGATCCTGAGACCTAAAAGCTTAAAAGCCTATGACATAAACGCTTTCAGTGTTGTTGTTAAAGGATGTTCACCAAGCAACTATCAGATATATGCTCAAATTTTTCCTTTGAACAATAATCATCATACAGTGGAGTAATCCACTGTGAAGGCTATCAACATACACCCACAAGAGGAAGACACTTAAACCTTCAACAGAAACTTTTCTTTTTTTTTCCCTGAGGAAGATTTGCCCTGAGCTAACATCTGTGCCAGTCTTCCTCTATTTCATATGTGGGTTGCAGCCACAGCATGTCTGACGAGTGGTGTAGGTCCACACCCAGGATGTGAATCAGCAAACCTGGGCCACTAAAGCAGAGCATGCCAAACTTAACCACTAAGACATGGGCCGGCCCCAGAAACAATCTTTTAAAATTGCCAAGTATATCAAGAATAATGTATCCATAGGGAAACAAGAGCTCTATGGTGTTGTCACCATTATGCAGACAACTGTCTCCTGAACCAATAACAAAGAAAAATGTGCCAGCAAACATTTCTAATAAACAGGCTACCTCCCATCAGATCAAGAT